TCACCAGCTTTCATGATCCTCTTCACTTCTGCATCACGTCCGCGAAGAGCCTTTCCTCCCTTTGTTGTGCGAAAGGAGAACTCGAGAAGACTTGACAAGCATGTTGGAGGAACAGGCATGCAAAACCTAAGGCTTAAATGATATTCACTCTGGGTGTCTATGCTCCTACAGCTCTGAAGCCTTGAGGAGCATCCTCGCCGCGTAAATAAGTAGCAATATGCGAGGACATTGCAGCTAGCAGATCTTCATCCTTCTCACTGAATGTCCTACCAGAGTGACGAGACTTTGCCAGTTCCACGACCCCTACAGAGACACCCTACACATCAGATGGAAATAGCAAAGAGCACCTAATACGTTCCCTAAGGAGTCAAAGATGGGCATGCATATAACGGCACCAGCCTCAAAGCCATGACCATGATAATTATCGTGCCTGATCAAGACAGTGTAGAAGAGAGGTATCGACGCTAACGGGTGGAGCACCTTGTTTTGTCATAAAAATCAGTCTTGGAGACATCCTCGATATTGACCATCTGCCCAGTAGCAGCGACATATCCCATGATACCTGCTTTATCCGCATCAATCGGGGACCTAGCAGTGGAACAAGGCTTGGTGATAGGACACAATAGAGTTTCTTGTCCACCTGAAAACACCCTTAGAGTCACCCGTCTCGCTGAAAAGCTCATTCTTCTCCTTGTCCACCAGCATCAACACCCCACTTTTAGCTCCAAGAATCTTACATAATTCACCAATGGTTTCATTGAATATCTCTCGCCGTTTATCTGAGACCACACTCGATCTCGGTAGTCTAAGTCGCTTTGTTGAGTAGCCGATCACTCTGTAAACGAGTGCGCTCAGCCTTAAGCGGGTCCAACCATAGTAGGGGTGCCATCCCGATAAGACACCCGAAGAAGAGCCCTGCGGCCTGCCCGAAGCTCTTAGCCATCTGATGCCACGTCCAGATAGTAGTCGAGTAGGGAGAGGAAGAATATTACTTTGAACTTCCGACTCCTCTGTGTTTGGAGGGATACTTGTGGCACCTTGATACCACGCCTGAGGATAAGACTTAACTATTGGCACAGAGCACCAGTAAGGCGGCTACAGCTCAGCTTGATGCTCTATATGAGAGCCGGCAAAAACACCGGCGAGGTCAGAAAAGGCGTTGCCTAGGCCCGCAGCAGCTAGAGTGCTGATGATGATGGCAAAGACAAGTAATGATGATGATGGTGTTCGAGAGGGCTGCACCTGAATCCCATGACCACGCATAGGGAGTTATCTATTTGCTCGCCGAAGATGAGCATGAGGGAATTGTCGAGGATACCAAAGCCGATAAATGGTATCTGTTACATGACGATGATGAGGCTCCCCCTCTCCCTTCGTGGGGGGGTCTACCGCTGAACATATGAACGTCCACCTTAAAATATGATTGGCTTCATCAGGGGTCTCATGTGAGTTACTGACTCGATACTAAAAGTTGATACCACACTTCCAGCTGAAATACGCACCCCACTTCCTCTCACATTCCGCATCCACTGCAAAGTTTTACCGTCAATTGTATTAGACTCTGCGAGGTCCTTGGCTACCTATAGGTATAATGTTTCATGTCCAGGGTAGCAGCGTACTAGGTTCAAATCATTCCGGGCCAAAGCCAAGAATTCACTGATATCCTCCACTTTTGATACACCGTTAGAGGTGGACGACGGAGCGCTCGACTTCGAAGGGATTTCACAGAAGTGCCTCGGCGGCGTTCCACATACCACACCGGGCGCATAAACCGAGTGAGGTGGTGCCCGTATAGATTGATAACTCCGGTGTGTCATCACACTCAATCGCCGTAATAGCATACACCGATTCGAGATGCCTACACGTAGGCTGAGTGGTGACAATATCAACTACAGCATCAACAATAGCCTCCTTGCAACACCATCGATGATACAAACTCTACATCACAGAAACTCCACGGACACTTTTATCATGTATTGATATCATTCCTCGCTCTACACTACTTCTTCCGTTTTGAAGCCGGGAGCCTCTCAAGGCAGCTCCCTGATTGAGCCCATCAACGGTATAGTACAGCATTCAAGTAATGGGGTAGAAGAGCTAAGAGATGACTAGACAGAGTCCATCACTCACTCGGACTACCATTGAGTAGGCATCTATAAGCATGCAGTGACGGGAGTGGCGATGATGGGGTTAAAAACCACTTCGTGCGAAGAATTATTGCTCGCCTATGCAAGGGGATATTATAGCCGTTCTCAAGTCTGTTCAATAGAGCGTACAGACCCCGTGCTACACTTACTGCCATATCTAACTTATACCTCTCTGAGGAAAAGGAGGGACGATGCGTTGCTGTAATCGACATGCACCTATAGTCTGGACCAGTCTACATGCTCTCTAGGATACGCCAGTCAATGCATCAGTGTCTGACTTGTGACCGGCGGCCAAAACCGCAGTAACCGGACCATCGACAATGCTAGGAAGGATGCATATGAAGAATAGCGAGGACGAGGAGGTGGAGGGGTGACAGCACGACCGCTCGCTCGCACTCGACCATAGTAGCAGCTAGTGGTTACAATGAAGCGCTGATCAGGACCCGCAGCCTTACTATTCCTCTCGGAGCTTTCACCAGACGTGCTCTCTCAACCTCTGCGTTGATTCAGCAGTGGACACCACAATAGTCCGTGCGACACCCAACGTATATCGTCAAATGTCAAACCGTTGCGCTGTGGCGAATGATAGTGGTCTATGATGATGATGATGATGATGATGATGATCCGATGTGTCGAAATGGGACGCTATACAAGGCTCCCCTCAACCGTTCCATCGAGGTCCCCACCCACCCAAGCCTAGTAGGGGAGATGGTCGCCTACCAAATGCCGACGCGCTCTCTTCTAGTGGTCCCCTCTTCACACCCTTCTCCTCCTTTATCACGTTTGCAGTCTAACTCGTTGCTACCAAAGTACATACCTCGCCGAATCACTGAAACCCGACACGACAAGTTCGACTGCTATGGGCTAAGGGGGAGTGGCGCTCATCTTACAACATACAACTCTCTTCATACAACATAGGCTACAACATTGAGCGTTGGGAATGGATACTCATACAATATATACATTCACTACACATTGGAATACTGATGATAGGTTACTAGTAACTGCTCTAGTTGAGTATTGATCACAACACAAAGCCTGAGTACCACATACACAAGATTCCCTTGGTAAGGCACTAACTTATTAAAGCATCATGCACTACGACTACAACTATCATCATATCCAGCTTCGGCTGATAAGACGACGACGACGACGAGCATCATCATTAGGTGAAGGGCGTATAGAGCCAGTCGTTGCCTCCACCAGCCTCTGGTATCGTCAATAGCATTGGTTTATCTATACATATTGCTATGCTGGTACAGCAAGGAAGGTAAGACACAACAAGGCTCACATCCAACACTCCCTGCCGCAGACATTATCGTCTCCTGTAGTGTGAGAATTGATGTCTCGAGATTGAACATTTCCCGCCCTAACTTTACCACACCAATCTGAAATAGACCGTATCAAGATGAACCGGGTTTATGGAAGCCTCTCACTCGTGTGTATTGAGCGTCGATCTAGTTTCATCTCCC